ACTTGGGAACTATTCCCTAATACTTGGGAACTATTCCCTAATACTTGGGAACTATTCCCTAATACTTGGGAACTATTCCTAAATGCTGTGGAACTATTCTTAAATACCTACTATTACTACTAGCTTATATATAGCCTATCTAAATTAATATTTTGGACTGGGTCTTGGTGAGGGTCTGTCTGTTTGTGCTTGGATGCTTTTCGATTTTCAGCATCTTTGGAAGGAACACTTCACAGCACAGTGTTTACATTCCATGAACCACTTGCGACAGGCAATCAGACTAGCATTGCATTACACCTGACAACTGAGCTCTAAAGCATTGCATTGCAGCATTGCACTGCCCTGTCTCAATCATGTCCCATGTGCAATTGGTCCAGCAATGGGAAAGAGCAGCGCGCAGCAAAAACAAGGGCGACATCACCAAGGCCAACGCCGCATTAAGATTAAAAGACGGAAGCGAGTAAAGAAGAGAAAGCAAGCTGCTCCACCACTACCTGTTCCACCACGGCCTCCACGCCTGCCAGCAAAGCGGCAACTACCACCACTGCGACGTAGGCGTTGTCCTCAACCTCCCCCACCTCCCCCACCTCCCCCTCCTCCACGAGCAGAACCGCAACTATCCGCACAGCCCGTTCAAGATCAACCAGATCAACTGCATGAGCTTCTTCAAAGCCTATATGTGCCACGGCTGTTTAGGCTCTGGTTTGCTGCGTGTTGGTGATTAGGTTGGCACCTGTGTCACAAAAGTACAGTGGTGATACAGTGATACTACCATGGGATAAAGTTAGTCCATTTTTACAGTACATACGTAGCACGTAGCCCAGTTTGCAATGATGCGCCGCTTCTCAAATCGTGGTGGTGATGATGAGAGCTCGATTGACTCGGAGGGTCCAATGTCTCAGCTGTTTGACAAGAGTTCTGAGAGGAACCTTGGGCCTATATAGTAAATATCGAAATTGTTTTTTGTTATCATTGTTTTGACTCTTGACTTGAGTGACTTGACTCCTGACGTTGAGACCAGATACGGACATGTCACACTTGACATTTCTGAGTGACGGGTTCAGCCAATCGACGAATATCGAAGCATCAGCATCACTGTTGGTTGCTGGGTGTTGGCCCGCGAATTCAATTCATTCATTTTGATTCTGACCACTGGGCAGGGGCCAAGTGTTAGTTGTCTTTTGGACTTGGACTTGCATTGAATCAGAAGCCAAGGGTAATGCCATTGGAAGGCAAGACTCTACCCTTTTTGAACTGGCCATTGGAGTACTGCAAGCGGCTTGGGATCAAAGAATTGACTCTTGGTGGCATCAAGTATAGGCTATTAGGCTATAGGCTATAGGCTATTGTATTGTCATTGCCATGGACTATCAGGGAGCTGTCATATATATAATAGTAATTATTATTGAAACTATTAACGTAGTTGGCAACCATTTAATTTTTGCTCTTACTAATGACAACACTCACCACTGACCGGACTGTCATAATTATAGCCTGAATCACTGAGTGAGTACTACATTATGCAAGATGCTTCATTCATTCCAAGCCAAGCCCCCAAATCCACCAACTAAGTTCAGCGTGGTTCGGGTCTGGAAGCGATGCTACATCCTGATGGTCCGAAAGGATCTGACTTCGAAAGATCGAGTCCTGGCTCTGTGTGACCTGATCCGGAATGTGCTTTCTCACACTTTTCAGACACGCAGCACGTTGGCAGATGTTAATTTGTACGTGGAGCGGGTACAGGAATTCCTGGGACGTGACTCCCACTACCCAGAGAAGTCTAAGGCTGCGGGTGGGATCAGTTGGCAGGTTCCATGTTTCGGCTTGGGCGCGTCAGCCATCCTCCCAAGACCACCAGATTAGGATTTCAGGTTGCCAGAAACAACCCCCCCCAGCCCAAGTAAGGATTTTCCTTTTGGAACTATTTCTAAATCACTCCGGACTATTTCTAAACCCCTCCGAACTATTTCTAAACCCCTCCGAACTATTTCTAAACCTCTCCGAACTATTACTAAAACACCACCCCGGACTAATCGAGAAACTTTAGATTTTTTCAAGTGTGCCATCTGACCCTGTCAGGATGGCAGAGTTACAGGTCGCAGGACCGCTTTCGTGGAACGTTGTGAGAGGGCTCTGGGCCTGAGAGAGGGAGGCAACAAGACCCGCTACTCAGAACGCCATTTGGACTCGTCTAAACTTGCCCTGTTCAACAACCGGGAGCTGGAGAGTCTTGACATCCAGTTCGCTTCTCTCATTGTGGCTCGGATTCATTGGCCAGATGAGATGTCAACTTGAGCCCTTACCTTCGTGTTGGCTTTGCTTTGGAGAGCGGGTTGTCAGGGCAAACACATGATGAAAGAGTTACTAAGACCAAGACTAAGACCAACCAACCAACCATTGATCATCCGTCCATTCAACCATCAGGGAAAGCCAACATTGTAGAAGATCAACTAAAAATACTTTAAAAAAACATACTGCACATGATGCGAGTGATGTGGGTAACTCTAGAAATAGTCCAGAACCGTTCGGAACCGTTCTGGACTAAAAGGACGTCGTGTTTTAGGCATAGTTCAGAACCGTCCAGAACCGTTCTGGACTATCCATAGCAAATCCACCAATTAGTTCGGAATAGTTCGGAATAGTCCGGGGTTAAGGATAGTTCAGAACCGTCCGGAACCGTTCTGAACCATCGCTAAAACTTTTAGTTCAGAACCGTTCAGAACCGTTCTGGACTATCGTCAGGAGCTGTTTCAGCAATAGTACAGAACCGTTCGGAACCGTCCTGGACTATCGCTTGTACTTCAGTCCATGAAATAGTTCAGAACCGTCCGGAACCGTTCTGGACTATTGACTAATGTTACTAATGTTCAGTTCATGATATATGTTAATTGTTAGTATGAAAATTATTGGCAATCGGGAATCAGAATTGACATTGACATTGACATTGACTAAAAATTATTCAGATGCAGGATTCCAGGATTAATTAATGATATTGATATCAAGTCATGAGTCATATCAATTGAATCATATCAGTCATATCATATCATCATATCAGCATCATGAATCATGCTGTAGTGTCTAGCATCTAGCGTATCTTGTATCTATCACACATGATGCAAGTGACATAATCCATAGACTCGAGTCATATACATACGGAACATGCAATAATACGGTCGTGGATCATGTGTTTTCGATGTTTTGAAGTTGTTGGAAACACAATATGTTTCTAAGTGTTGTTCAACAACTAAGAGTTCCAACTAATTTTCAACCACGTCAGGTCATATGACGTGTGCGTTACTGCAAGTTTCTTTCCAGAGAAGTTGTGATGGGAGATCGGTGATCAGCGGCCAATGATAAACTCAACCTTCTGGCGACTCCGACTACTACTCCGACCATTCGTGACCTGTAGACGTCAATGTTACAATGTTACAATTACAAATTACAATGTTACTTAATGTAATTGTTTTGGCTGAGGCTGGGAAAGAAGCAGAAAAGGGGCAAAGCTCAGACTTCCAAAGAGCCGAAGAGTAAGGCAAAGGCAAAGGCCGTGTCGCGGCAGTAGAGACTGAATTTTCCAAAGCTCTACCTAGCGGCTTGAATCTTGAATTTTGATTCGAGCCTCGCCTTCCAGGCTGGGGAAAGCATGGGGGGATAGAGAGGCTCAAATGAACATGAGACCAGCAAAGACGCAACTCAGCAGTCAGCTCGCAGCTTCGAAAAAAAAGAGTATTTATGTATGCGGCATGCGGCATGCGGTTTTTGCGAGGGAACTCAGCGTGCTGTGAGTGCATCTTTTCAGATTCTTAGAATCCCAAAGACATATTCCAGGATCATTTCAAGATGATTTTGAGAATAGTCCAGGACTATCTTAGGAATAGTCCAGGATAGTTTAGGAATAGTCCAGGAATAGGTCTAGGAATAGTCCAGGATAGTCCCAGGCTTCAACAGATAAAGAGGCCTAGGCAGACACCAAACTAAGTCTATACAGTTACTATTTCAGCCTCTCCCTCCCACAAGGTCGAAGGGTCTCTGATCCTCAGATCCTCACTTCGCAGCGCAGAATTCCAGGAATACCTCTACAAAGACGAGTTTGAGAGCTACATCAAGGAAGGTGTCCTCTCTATGCACACGGCCTTCTCGCGTGAGCAGGCGCGGAGAGACTTCTTGCCGCCAGTACTCGCTGCGAAGGTTCGATCCAGCGAGAGCTAAGGACTGTCGGACAATACAGCAAAGTCTTTTGGGGTCCAAAGGGGTAACATACATTAAAAGTATAGACTCTTGCGTCGTCATACCACCCCATTTGGATTGTAAAACCTCTTCTATCGCGCTCGCTTTCGGACGGTTTGTTGCCCACGAAACGCCGCGTCACGGCCCGATTCGGACACACAATCCTTCGCCCCGATTCGCCAGAGGTTGTATAACCTCTTCGTACGGGGACCTTTACACTTTACACATCAGTTTCATGTATACTCTTGATTTATAACCCCCCCGTATGAAGAGGCAGTTCAATCCAGATGGAGGCGGTACGGGTGGGGGTAAGAAAAGCCGGGAAGGGATGGCCGATGATGGCCGTGGGCGCGTGCGTTGATCGTCCGCAAGTGCGTGCATCCACATGGAGGCGGTTTATAGTCTACATCCGAAGCTCAGCCAGGACCGATTTGACGCCCTCCACCCACCAAGACCGATCAAGTGCTGGTTTTCGATCCTGTCGCTTTCCTGGAACATGACCGGCGGGGTAAGACAAGGTCTCATGGATCACGCTTCTGGCCCCAAAACCGAGACGCTTTTCATGTTGTCCCCGCTCATGGAAAGGGTGCATGGAGGGTCATGCAGGGGCCAAACACTTTGGCAAGATGGATACCTGCCTTTTTTCTTTGCGGGCCCTTTGTGGACATGGAGAACGCACAAGATCAGGAAGCACTGCTCGAGCAGGAATATGAGGTAAGGAAAACATGTATAGATCAATACTGTGGTGCTTGGGAGTCTCTTTGGTTTTGACCTCTTCGAAAGGAATTGCGTAGATCTCTGTCCGGACACCTCTGAGGCGTTTCTTCTCCGGCATGGTCGTTGAACTACCTTTCTTGGGGCAGCACAACCATTTGGAGTCATGACAGGACCATACCTTGGAGGCTATCGCTGTTAGGTTGGAGGCCATCGCGAAGCCTAAGCTGTCGCTCCCTGCGCTTTACGGCGCTTTACGCTTCGCTGATCTTTCGTGTTTTCCGGCTGGAAACACCTGGTATCAGAGGGTGGAATCCACGGTTGAGGATCTTGAGGTAGTATATGGCTTTCACACATAGGTATTTCACTTGGTTGGAACCCTTGACCATCGATTCTCGAACTTGGATGCTTCTCCAGTCTTCTTCGAAGCCAGGCGCGCAAGATCTATGTGCAGCACAAGATTGTGGAGGCAACTGTTTCGCATTCGTTTCGCTAAGTCAGGTGGTTCACACATTCAGACAGGACCAGAGTCTGGTGGAGGGATTTGTTGTAACACAGCGATTCTTGTTCATTTGCTTGTGCACATGAGTCTTGTGCACTTTTGGGGGGCCAGACACATCGAGAAAACAAGAACCTCTCGACTTATTGGGAGTCGGTACGTACGTATCCTACGTCGTTTGCCAGCGATTCTTGCGTCCAGGATGGTCCAGGTACGTCTTTGCAGCGGGAAATCTGAAGTTGTGCTGTTTTTTATGTAGAAAGCCTGGAGCAATGCTTGTCACGATTCAGTCATTCCGTCCAACCCCTTTTGGCAACGGTTGGCAGAGGATTTTCTGATTGACGAATCTTATGTTCCTTTTGATCAGTGTAGCATTTGTTCCAAGTCGAACAGTGTTAGGCTGCAACCATGAAAAGGCATGAAAAAGCAGAATCCTCCAAGATCTTCATGGAACTCTTCCATTCTGGGCTCAGACGTGGGAAGTCCATGCCCGCGAGTCGCCACAGTTTCGACGCTTCGGCGCTTCGACCGACGGGTCCGGCGCACTACGTGGCCTGTAACACGCTCTCCATGTGACCAGGCCGGGGAGGCCGTCCACCAGTGCATGCTGAAGCAGGAGGGTCACTTCTACGTGTGCGGCTCTGCGCGACAAGTCCCTGAGGTGCGGAGAGGGCGGAGAGGGAGGACATGGTCGCGGAGGGGAGGGAGTTCATTTTTGGGAGAGACATATTTGACATGTTCACTCTCTGTGTGGATGAAGGATGGTTCGCGACCCGCAGCCAGGTTGCTGGGCCGAGACTAAAGCAAACATGGACATGATTCGGCAGAATGTTTAATTATTGTGCTTTAATATTCATCTTCAATGAACTAGCTGGTTGTAACTCTGTATCATCGGACCACACTCAGCACATAATCCTTGTTCAGAGAGGGTGCCTGGAACTTGCGGGAGGTTCAGTTCACTACGCCTCGCCGCCATTCGATAAAGGAAAATCATCTTCCAAACCCTGCAGCATTTGAGAAAATCCTGATACAGAAGTTCGGGGAGGACTACAGGATAGTTCACATACAGGATAGGACTCTCACCCGGAGGAAAAAAGTCGCAGGACAGCCGGATTCCGCAAAGCAGCCTTCGTCCAAAATGATCCCATGACCCCATGACCCATAAGGAAACTTGGGATATCCATGATATCCTCAAACCATTCTAACCAGATGGGTTTGCAAGAACTCATTGTTTGGCCCACCAAAATCCCAAGGTTCGATCAATCAACCCACCGATGGGATTTCTCCAGGGATGTCTTGTACTTTTCCAGATGTTTTCCAGTGTCTTTTTGCCAAGATGTTTTGATGGTCAAGCCACACCGCCTTTCTTTTAACTCACCCAGTCGTGCGATCGTGGTCACGTGTCAGTCTGCACGGTCGTCGGTCGCAAGAAACACTGTCAGAAGTCGCCCCTCGTCCATGCCTCGAAGTGAGTGGTGGGTCTCCTTCCAGCACGATGATACTTGTAGAACCCTTAAAGCCCCTTGATACATTGATATGATATTGATATGATATGACTGATATGACATATTACCCTTGAAATCAGACGCGTGACATGAATTGTTGATGATGTCCTCATATTTTCCTTCTGGCAATGCACCTCAATCCATATCGAAGGGATGATGTCGTCCAAGGTCTGCAGATTTTGTTATCCACCTTTGTGTCCAAACTACTAGCTTCAGCGCTCAAAAACAGCCCAAACCTGAGTGGGTTTGTCAACTGAACACATCATCAGGACATCTACACTGCCATGAAGGAGGCAGAGTGCGCAGAGGGAGAGGGGTAGATCGGGCAGAGTGGATCCAGGTGGTGGCAGTGGCAGCAACAAGGGGGTTTGATGTGCCACAGGGACCCTGCCTAGAAGAATATCCTTGTCCTAGGCCAGCGGTCAGGGGATCTCCCACTTCTGAATACACTGGCTCCACCTCATTCCATTGGATCGGACATGAGAAAAAGGATCCCGAAGTTCCTTTGGTTCCTTTGTGGGTTTGACTCGTTGGGGGTCACCAGTGTGACAAGCTGCTATTCCTACATACTCGTTGTGGGCGGACATTCCAGAAACTGGTTCGGAGTTCATGGGGCTTTCCACCTGGGTTGATCATCAGAAGCTGCTGGTCTCTTTGCGCTTGCGCATCGGGGCTTCGGTGCCAGAGACACCGTGAAACACGGCGTGTTTTCCGGACTTGGAGCAGCGAGTTGGACTGTCCGTCTGCGGGACCGTGGCCACCTTGCACGGTCCACGGTTCACTGCTTCTTTCACCCGTTGTTGTTCGACTCTTCGACTGGGATGACATGTACGGCCGCTTCTGGGAGCGGCACTGGCCGCTAGGGCCGCTAGGGGCGGCGCTGGCGCCCCACGGAGCAGGACGGTAGTTCGTACCGTGCGGGTCGTGCGGGTCGTAGACATGAATTGAAGTGAATGTCGCTTCCCCTGTGGCTGTCGGCCTGGCGCGCTCGGGTCGTGCGTTTTCGCTGTCGGAAGGGGCATCACCGGATTGAAGTGAATCGTTGGCGAACGAAACGCGCAGATGATGTGGCTGTGGCATTGGCCGAGTGGGGACCGCACTGTTCCATGGTCCTGAAAGTGACTATGACAGTGACTCAGGTTCATTGCAAATGAGAATGCATGCGATCGCGATACCGATGTGAATGCCTGCAAGCACAGCCGCTGACTCATGGAATGATGTCCGTCTTGCATGTTCACATGTCACGTTTTTGAGGAGTTTGCCCGCGTTTCATTGGTGATCGCATTGGCCACCTGCGCCTAGTGCGACCCTACGGATGATGAGATGACATTCAGCCTGCTGACGAACAGATGAGCAAGGAGAGTTTGACAACAAAATGTGCTTTTTTGCTTTGGGTTCGCCCGGGAGCACAAGTGCTGCCAGGAATTTCCGTTTTGGCGACTGTCTAGGCACCACATGCTGCAGATGCTTGAGTTGTTTCACTTAGCAGTTCTAATGCCTTCATTTCTACAGACGACGGCTGTCCTCCCTCACATCTTCTTAGAACAAACCTGCTTGTTATGCTGAGGGAATCTTGCTGCGCTTTTTTGCTGTTATCATGAAACACTGATATTTATATAAGCGGCATTGAGGAAACATGCCACATTCCCAGAAACACACCGCAACTGGTTTTTAGCAAACATCACAAAAACAAAAACAACCAAAAACACACCTCGCACTGACTTGGGCAAACGCGCCGCAAACGTGGCACATGGGCAAACACGTTGACGTTGCATTCTAAACTTTTGACTTGAGGTCGAGACCTTCGTGTTGAGTAGAAACATGCCGCAGTTCTAGACATGTTTTTCTCTTTGTGAGAGAACACATTTCCATGCCAGTGGAGTCTCTTAATGAATGTAAACACCGCACCTTGATATCATATCTTTTGCTCTCGGGCCGTCCGTTGCCAATTCAATAACAGGGCATTAGCCAGAAATTTTGTGGGATGCTGGATCCTGTTCTTGGTCCAGATTTGACATGATGGGTGTGGACCAAAGCGTCTTGGGACACAAGATTTGAAGTAGAAACACCTGTTTATCAGGCCACCGCAACCTCTGTTTGCAGGTCGAACCAGTCTCAGAGTGAGCGCGGGAACCTCCCTAAACCTCCCCGCGGGTGGAGCGAGCTGGTCGAGAGCACTGGGCCAAGCTCACCTTCCACCGACCACCCCGACGCCGATGACGAGTTGGGCAGGTCAGTGGTTTTCAGCTGCCGGTGGTTTTCAGCTGCGCTGATGTCCAAACTGTGTACGCAAGACATGCAGGTGATGATGGCGAACGAGCGGGTGAATGAGGATGAGGCGGAGGCCATCCTCTCGAACCTGAAGATGGAGGGCCGTAGCTTGGGCGAAATGGATCGAAATGGAGGATTTCTCGGTGGAGAAATCTCCAGACTCACACCAGTTTGGTCGGTGCATGGACTGACTATTGGTGAGATTTTTGAACGAACCACCAGCCCGGCCCGACAATGTGACAAACTGGATTGACCCAAGACAAGAGAGAGGTGTCATTTGCAAATCTGTGGCAATCTCCCTGTGCATCTTCGCCAACCACATGTTTGAATATTTGGGTGCGTATTGAAACAGGGAGACCTCCCAAAGGCCCGCTGGAAGAAGGAACAAAGACCAGTCTACTCATTGGTTGGATGTTTCCCTATTAAAATACACACCCATTTGTTTGGGGGAGAAAACACATTGGCGGATGTTCTTGACGACGCGGACCAGTGTTCTTTAGAGGGGGAACTCGGCGGCCATATGCGGCCATGGGTTTTGAGCGAACAGGCGATGGTTTGAGCGGCAGATGGTCAGGGTGTGGCTTAAGGCTCCGACCATCTGGGCAGGGAAAGTCAGGCATTACATGTTTGTCATCCATGGTGACCAGTCTGACTGATTCTGGTCCTCAAAGCTTTCAATTACTCTTAGTTTGTAGAGGGCTCCTGTTCTGGAATCCCCTGTGAATGTTTGATCTGAAATCCGCCTCAGTGCCGCTGCTATTGGAGGAGAACTCTCTGAAGAAGTCTTGCAGCTTTCTTCAGATGCCGAGGGGGTCAAGCTATTGTGAAGGAATCCCGTCACAGACCTGTGAAGGAACGGGATCCATGTCGCAGGCGACGTCGCGGCGGCGACGTCGTTTTTGCGGCGACGTCTACGGACGGTTCCCGAGCCGGACTGGTACCTGAGGTTACACGGTGGAGGCTTGGTCCTGATCTGCGCTTGAGATGAGCACCGCAGAGCTGTTTCCTTCGTTTGAACAGAGCCCCCTTTTTGTTGCAAGCAACTGCCGCTTGCTGCGTGCATCGATTCTGAGTTCTACAAACACATGTACATGAAGACACGGGCAGGTTTGAAACTTCTTTCAGGGTAAAGATGAGATGGGTTCGGGTCGGACTGCGAAATGGTCACCAGCAAAGCATGCGCTTTGCTGGGTGGGAAGTGTGCCAAACAACTCTGGTTCCTTCAAGGTAACCCTTCCTGATCGTTCCTAACGGTCCTAACATTCCAACGGTCATGTTTTTTTCGCATCTTTCTTCCTTGGCAGTTGGGCGGGGGGCTCTTCTCCTCGGGCCGGGCAACACCAGCTTGCCGCCGAGTATCGACTCGCTTCAAAACTCGTTTCGGACCGTGGCTTTGGTGCTGCCAAGACGCCCGGGACCCCAGGTGGTGCACCCCGGAGAGCTCGTTGGGGGCTGCGGGTGACGTTGGGTTGGGTTGCGGGGGTCTTAGGGATTATGCTTTGTTGACCCATCAAAGACCTCGAGGTCCGTGAATCTCATGTTTTTTCGGCCTGGAGCATAAGACAGGTTGTTCAGCTGTTCTGTTTTGGGATCACCATCCGGCCACATTTGCTTAAAACACAAGGACTTCTTCAAGTGGTCTGTGGCTTTGGATCGCCAAGTGGATTCACTCGCCGACCCGACTGAGGTCTTGTGCAGGTCCTGGCGCCTCGGCCCTGAACGCGGTGCGGTTTTGGTCCCAGCGCACCCAGCGGAACTCTGGCCTTGAGGCCCTGAGGTGACTGGGTGGCTGGTTTGGGATTTGTCGCATCGTGGACGGTGGCGCCCATTGGCAATCGAAACAAGGGAAAGCTTCAGGGTCCTAATAGGCATCTAATAGCGATGGCCTCCAACCTAGAAGCAATGGCCTCCAACCAAAGAGCCATGGCCTCCACCCTAACAGCAATAGCCTTCAACCTAATAGCGAACTACGTAAGCCAACACAGATTTCAAGCACTTGATCCTTACAAGATGATGTTTGGCTTTATCGACTTATGGGTTCGCCAAGACCGTGATGAATTTTTGTCCAGTACGAAAGCCCAGATCTCGTGCCAGCTGGGCCCTAGACTTCGAGCGAAGACGAAACAAAGCGCTGAGCAGACAGTGCAGACGCGAAACGATCCAGTGCAGACGGATGGATGGATGAGAGAAACTCATGCGTTGACCTCCCAAGCCAGGTGATTTGGTCAAGGTGGGGGTTCCCCCCAAGGAGGGAAGCTCTTGAGTCCGGTTTTTGGAATGACAGAAAACTGCCTCCGGTGCCGACCTGGATCAACTGACTGACCTGATGTCAGCATGGCACAGTACTACTCGCAACGTCTATAGCACTCTCCCAAAGGCAAACATTGTTTGGAGCATGGCGCTGGTGTGTCAACTGCTTTCTTTTGCCCGGCAAGGCTGAGCCCGGAATCACCCTTTTTCACACCCCTAAAACCGTATCCCAAAATGTCCCCAGCAGTCGTTTTTTGTGAAATCATCCGGTTTCACTTTGCCACATTGGAGTAACCATTTCTTTTGATGGGATATGGAGTTTCCGATCTATTGATGGATTACTGATGAGATGGATTACTGAACACCATTTCTGAGTTTCTTTGACTTCTATTGATGTTTGGGACATGCGGAAGCGCTTCGCGCTGTCAAACCCTTTGGTCCCTAAAAGTCGGTGTGGCGAAATTGAGGAACTCGCAATCCACTCACCCACCAGGTACCCAGGTACGGAACCCTGGTCGATTTTCTGTCCGCCAATCTGTCTCTTGCTTCTAAAGAAAGAGATCCAAAGGGTGAGAGATGCACTCTTGGGATTCAAGTTCCTGAGTTCTGCCGGTTTTTGCCCTCGCGATTTCCAAGTGAGTCTACCTCGCGCTGTTGATCGTTTGGAGATCCCTCTGATCTTAACTTGGAATGGTCCGGCCACAAGGGGAGGAGGGCCACGACCCGTCGAGACCCGTCGAGACCATGCTGTTGCCGGCTCACGATGTGGAGTTCTGGGGCCTGGAAGGCCTTCCAGGACGACTGGTAGGCCTCTCCCGAGCGATTGGAAGCATGTTTTGTGAAGGATGCAGCAGATCAGATCTATACATTTAAGATCAATTTAAGGACGGACGCACACGGCCCCTGCACTCACCCTCCAAAATCTTTTTCCACATCAGTCACTCTGTTTCCGGGGTTTCACCTGGTTTTGCCCACCGTTGTTGGGACGAAACGCTCAGCGCCATGGCTGATTCCGACGCCTCCCCAAGTGCTCCAATGCAGAGACAGAGCCAGATTGCGACAGGATCGTCTGGACAGATGAGCCGGGGGTCTCATGAAGGGGGCACCTGCCATCCATGCATCTTCTTTATCTCATCTCGTGGCTGTTCCAGCGAGAGCTGCGGCTTCTGCCACCTTCCGCATGCTCGAGTGGCCGAGTCGGAACGCCCACGGCGCGCGAAGCGGGATGCGATCAAAGAGAGGATCTTCGAGGTGTGCCTCTTGGTCGAGGATGAGGGTGAGAAGCGCCAACTCCTGCAAAATGAGGCATTGAGCCATCCCTTTGCCTGGAACTACATCAAAGGTCTCTTAGATAAACCACCTTTCGATGTCCGCAGGGTGGACGGGAATTTGATTGTGTCTATTTGAAGAGTTATATACGGAAATGCTTTCATTTCTGGCCTGGTGACCTTCCGGCCGTGCGTGTTTTGTGGCTGGGAAGGTCCACCTGCGCAGGTGCGTGACGGCCTTTCTTTCTGAAGGCCAGCGATCTACAAGATGGAATGTAGATCAGAACGCATGACACGGAGAACCTGTCGAGAAAAACTCGTGGACGGAACTAAGAACATTTTAGAAATCCATTTCCAGCATCGTTGACTTGGTGAAGCTTGTTGACCGACGCTTACACCATATTCATGTTCTCCGAAAACGCACAGACTCTTTGGGCCGAATCGGATGCCCAAAGTCGCCCAGTGGCAAGTGTTCTCCGAGTTTCTTTGGGGCTCTGGAGTCACGAAGCAATTGACTCCGGCACTCGTGCTGTTGGAAAACAGCAGCAGAGAGTAGATGCGACCAAAGCAGAATGACTTTGAGGAACCAATGACCATTTTAAAGCAATCATGACTTAGTGACTCAGGTCCGTATACTGTAGAAGGAATGAAGGAGCCATCTAACAATCTAACATCCGTCCAAACTCAACCCACTTGAGCATATAATTGAATACTTTTCAACTGTTGCTCTCCATAAGGGTCGCCGGTGTCACTGTGTTTGAACTCGTCAGACAGCACGCATTCGCATCAATTTTCTTTTTCCGGAGTTCTCCGGCAATGTCCACTGAGGGACGCCACAAACCTGCAGACGAATGGACGCTAATTGATGTGCAGACGAAAGTTGCACTTGCTGATTGCAACTTTGAGAAGAGTTTTCATCGCTGAATGCAATTCCCGCGGGATGCAATCACTCGGTCATGAGGCTCTTGCGGGTGCACGGCAGAGCTGTCACCATTCGCGTCTTTTTTTGTCGGGTAGGATTTCCTAGTTCCCAGAGGCTGGACTCGAACCAACTGCTACATGTTGGTTCGGTCCAAAACCCTAGTTGTGAGGGTTACAGTTAGAACATCAACGAATCCGTGAAATGGGACACGTTTCCGAATCGAAAATCACCACGCCATAGCACGCCCTTCTGTTTTCTCTTTTTCCGCCAGCGGGCGAATCCTCCAGCATCCACAGGTTGGTCCGATCGACAGGCCACCAGCTCCACCAGAGAGTGTGGCGAGCTGGTCAGGGTCAAAACTGCGTGGCATGGATGCCCACGGCCAAGACGTGAATATGTTCTTAAATCATGCTAGCATAAGGTTTGTTCTTTTTATATAATATCTATCTATCTATCTATCTATCTATCTATCTCTATCTATCTATCTATCTATCTATCTCTATCTATCTATCTATCTCTATCTATCTATCTATCTATCTATCTCT